GCAAGAAGGAACAGAGAGAATCTAGTATGAAATAAGATACAAGTAAATACGGGAGGGAGTAAAAGAAAGATGGGAAGAGAAAGAGACAGCAATAGTTTGTAGTAATCTGTAAAATGCAATTTTGATTATTTATGTCTGAGTCTTCTAGAACATGGGTATTTCATTCTCAGCAACCCACTCAAGTGTTTCTCCTAAGAGGAACAAGTGATCAGAGATCTCTTTCCCCAATTTCTCCAGAAAAACAGATTTCTAGCCCCCACCCCATGAACCAGAGACTTTTCCAGAAAGATTTAGGAAGGCCTTATTATAAGATAATGTGGTGTTTGGAGCCTAGAGATGTCAGACAACTTCCTGCAAAAGTAATGCATTTATTTGGGGTATATGTAAGCTCAGTACAGTCATTATGGATAGTGCTCAGGTTGATTTTATTTTCTTTTCAAATACTTGAAAGTCAACATGGGGACCCTCTCTGTCTCTTTCTTCAATTTATTCTTCAAAATACACAATGAAACAGAGAAATAAACTTCAAACATACTATTACCATGTAGTCAGCCCTCTTCAATAAAGTAATAAAACAAGATGGCTGCATTCTGGATGATGTCTGTTCAAACCATTATTATTGTTATTATTTTAATGACACCCATCTCTTCTCAATCCCCAGAACCACTATCTTCCTTATGACAGCAGGATCATTATACTAGTCTCCTACCTAGTACCCTGTCATCAGTCTAACCGTTCTATAATCCATTTTCCACATCACTGCCAGAGACTTTGAGAAAGCCTGACTTTGTTCACTTCACCTTGCTTTTGTCTATACACTCCATGTTTTCTCCTGCTTCCAAGTCTTCTGGAAATGCTGCCTTCCTGACCTGCACACCTCGCATCCCTAACCAACTAGTAATCTTCTCTTTCATTTCAAGGAGTAAGCTCAAGAGTGACTTTCCCTGTAGGGGAGCCATCCATTTTGGTTTTCTCTAGGCTGAATTAGGTGTTTTTTCATGACACTCTCTGCATCCTTCTACCCTAGAAACTCAGAGTGATTCTATAATCATAACACTTCTAATTCTCTGGTGCGCTGTGAGATCATTGAGGCTAGACAATGTCTTATTGATCTTTATGCCTCCAGCTCTTAACTAAACTCCAGGGCACATAGGGAAGATTCAGAAATATTTCATGAAATGGATTCATAAAGTTATTATATGCTGCAAAAGTATAGTCTGACATCAGGAGTAAGAATATAAAATCTGGGACAGCCCATGTAATCTGAGATCTCTAAGCAACATAACTACAACCACAGAAGGGAAAAAAGAATCTGATTTTGAGTTTTATTTTCCTCTTCTTTCTTATTTTTAATATATTCAGGTTAGTCCGAGAGTTAAAAGTGACATAAAAAATTTAAGATGAATAGTTAAGCAGAATTAGTCAGACTATTGTGAGCTATGTTTCTCTTTTTTAAAAATATAAACACTTAGATAAATTGATATGTAAAGCAAATAATATTCACACCATCAGATCACATAGTTTTAAATTTTATTCAACAAACATTTTCAGATCCCTTCTATAAAACAGACACTGTTTTAAAAATATCAATTGATTTAATTCTGATAACAATCTTAAGAGGTCATCCCTAGACAAATTTGGTCCCTTACTATCTTGTGATATTGGGCTGACTCCTTTTCCATACACCCAACAGAAAGATAGAAAGATTTTTAATTGAAGAAAACAATACCTAGAGAGATAAAAATTATTTTCAAGTGCCCTAAGAGGTATCAAAAGATCTAAAGATGGATATCACATCGAAATGAATACTGTAATATTTATAATTTCTGACGTGCTTACAAACAATAAAATAATTCAAGGATTTGAGTGAATTTTTGTATGGCAGTAGAGTACCATGTATTTAAAATAAAACACCTGATAAATTATGGACAGAGAGAAATAGAATACTTTTCAAGATGAGGCTTGTCACAATATAAAGCAGTTATTAGAATAAAATCTTGAAACTATTCTCACTTCTCCTTATTTCTACTTTTAGTAAAGAGTGATGATTAACTGCAGGTAGAAGATGTAACAAGAATAGACTGAAGTATAAACAAGTTGAAGTGCCACACACACAAACCCCCAATGGCTATGAGTACTTAAAAAAATAGCATACTGGGTCCATATTGTGGATTGTCAATGACAAGAAATTTGAAGACAGTAATGACTATAGACTGCAACTAAAGTAGCAACAATCTTTCCCATTTTTTTAATCTTTCCCATTTTTAAAAGAATTGTACATGGAAGAGGAAAACACAGACATTAATAAATCAGAGGGACACATTATACCACAAGTTAGCAGATTTTTATCAGTGAACTTGAACAAAGCCACAGAAGGCCTGCTTGTCAAATTTACTGATGACAAGAGGTCTGGTGAAATGGCTAATGCTTTGGGTAATAGCAGCAGCATTTAAGATCTGGTTAAACTTCAAATTAACAAAATTAAATTAATATATGCATACATCATGCGGGTATCCTACTTAGCTGTCACCTCTTCACACAGGCCTTTTTGACCATCTGTTTCTAACATGGCCTTTGGGATTCTCCACTCACCATCACTTCACCCTATCTTGTTTTCATAACAGTTATCCCTTCCTATTATTTTCTTAGGTATTTATTAGTTGATTTGTTCACTTTCTAACTTCCTTGGAAAGTAAACTATATGAAAGTGGTAACATTGTTTAATTTGTATCACTGAGAGTGAAATAGAAATACTGAGTAAATATTTGTCAAAGAAATCAAATGCCTATTTATTTTCTTCTCTTAAAAAAATGAAGAGTGTGGATTAAAAATATATATAACAATAGCATTTCTTATGAAATATGACATCTCTAGAATCATAGAAACCCCAAGCTGGGATCAGAAGAACTGAATGGTCTTGCCACAGATTAGTCACTTGACCTTTGGTAAATCATTTAATTTCTCCAGAACAGTTTCCTCACCCGTAAAACAGGCTAATCATGTCAGTCCCTCAGAAGTTTTAAAATAACATGTATGAAAGAATTTTGCTACCTATTAAGTACAAAACAACTGTAAAGAATTATGACTAGGGTAGGGCTAGGGTGGATGACTTAACAGTCAGTATGAGCCAACAGTGTCTTGTGACATTTGAAAAAAATAATTAGATATAGATATTGGGTGCATCCACAAGATCATGTACATTTGGTATCAATAAGACCCAAGCCAACTTCCTGCATCGCTTCCTAGTTTTATATTATGTAAGACATTGACCATTGTCTAAAGGAAGACTGAATGAGTGGAGGTCTTGGGGATAGTGTCATTTGAAAAACAGTGGAAATAATCAGGCAGAAAGCAGAGGAAAGGGAAGGGGGGCATGATACTTATTTTAAATATGTGATGAATTGTCACGTGGAACATTTATTCCATGTTGCACCAAGAGGCAAACTGGGATTTTAGGTAGAAGACTAAGAAACTTATGTCAATGTAAGACCTTATTTTAATGTAAACTGAGGTGCTCCATCCAAACTAAGTGGGGGAACATCAGCAATGTTATTAGAAGTTTTCTAATATTAACCTAAGTTCAAGTTAGGTGATGTCCAAGTCCCTTCCATGTCCTATCATGAATATTGAGAATGAAAGGATCCTGGACTCACACTATCAGGAATCCCAAAATATTCTTCTTAGACATGAAATCAATTTCATTACAGTGGCAGATGACATCAGTCCTGAGTCAAGAAGAAGAAAGGCCAGTGGGGTGTGATATTCACTGGAGAGCACTTGTGCTTCCACCACTGTATCCTCCTAAGAATCTGTTTAACATGTAGGTGTCTCCTTTGCTTGATAACATTAACTATGAGAACATTTATGACCCTAGTGCCCTTCAAGCTTTTGCTGCTGTGTTTCTTATTACACTTAATGTTGCAAGTGCAAATTCCAGCTAAATATATCCTTCAATTCAAAAATGGTCTCATTCCCCAGTTTGGAGAAGGGGGGGGGGGGAGCGGAGGCGACATCTCTGGGATTCAGCAAGTGCTAAGTCGGCGAAGCCAAACAAATATGAAAACGTTCGCCTGAAATGACACTTTTGCATAGTCCTGCTTGAGGAACAGCGTGCTTTTATGTTCATCACTTCATTACTTTTATGTTTACATTAAAGAGACGAACGCATCAACAGTGCCTGTATTGGGATCCCTGGGTGGTGCAGCGGTTTGGCGCCTGCCTTTGGCCCAGGGCGCGATCCTGGAGACCCGGGATCGAATCCCACGTCGGGCTCCCGGTGCATGGAGCCTGCTTCTCCCTCTGCCTGTGTCTCTGCCTCTCTCTCTCTTTCTCTCTCTCTCTCTCTCTCTCTCTGTGTGTGTGTGTGTTTGTGTGTGTGTGACTATCATAAATAAATAAAAATTAAAAAAAATAAAAAACAGAGCCTGTATTAACCATGTGTGGACGTCCTTGCCCGGTGCATAGACCTACACCTGCCCATGTATGGGTTATGGAAACCGCACGTGAGCGATGGAGGAGAAAAGTAGAAGAGAGGGAGATTTAACCCACGGAGCAATAGGTTCAAATAATTTTCATGACCCCCCCCCACCCCCCTCCACCTCCCCATCCACCCCCCCGTCGGCTTCTGCTCTCCCTGGGCGCGGGCGGAGGCTGTGGGCTGCAGCTTCAGCGCTGGAATGAGGAGTAATTGAGCCTGAGCCGAGCCCGAGGTAGCTTTCTCCTGCCGGTGTCCCTGCTGCAGCCTCCGGTGCCGGGTCCCTAGTTCCTCAGCCGCCTGTCTTCCCGGTGCAAAATCGTCTGCAAAGACCGAGAAGCCGCCGCCGCAGAAGTTGCCCGGCGCAAGACTCCGGAGGCATTGGCTCAGTAACTTTTCACGTCATTTTCTGCTCTGGAGCCTCCTGTCGCGTCTCCGCGCCGCCTTTCGCACCGCAAACCACAGTGCTCATGGGGCAGGCGGAGAGCGGCTTGCGGCACTGAGCGGAGCCGGACTCGAGCCCGTGATGTCCGGTACCAAACTGGAGGACTCCCCCCCTTGTCGCAACTGGTCATCCGCTCCCGAGCTGAATGAAACTCAAGAGCCCTTTTTAAACCCCACCGACTATGACGACGAGGAATTCCTGCGGTACCTGTGGAGGGAATACCTACACCCGAAAGAATACGAGTGGGTCCTGATCGCTGGCTACATCATCGTGTTCGTGGTGGCTCTCGTCGGGAACGTCCTGGGTGAGTCTGGCCCCGGGCAGCCCTCCAGGGGGCTGTCACGGCCCCTCTGCGCGGGGCTGCCAAGGCTCTGAAGACCCCTCCCTCCCCCCTGGGAGGCAAACAAAGAGGTCGCTGCTCTCGGGGTGGGGTTTTCCATTAAAAAAAAAAAAAAAGTTTTCTGATTTTAGGAACCAGGAGCGAGCCGAGCCCTGGAATGGTCATCCCTTTCTGGGCAGGGGGGAGCGGGGAAGCGCGTTCTCTTCTGCCATCACCTCGGTTGCAAAGCGCCCAGACCGGGGCAACGCGACAGGGTCTCCAGGTGGATTTGGTTGGATGTGGGGAAATTAGTCATCCTTTTGTGTAACGTAGCCGGGTGTTTCAGGGGGGGGCTTTCTGGAGAGGTAAAGCCGACAGAATGCAAAGCTGGGCTCCTAAGGAGCAAGCAAGCTCTCTGTGGCCATTGAAGTCACAAAGGATTTGTGAGCTAGGTAGAGTGCCCTTTGGAGGTTTAGGCTCTGTCTAGAGGTGGTAATGGAACGGCAGGGAGTGGAGACAGAAGCAAAGCACGGAGGGGCACTCGCGCACAGAAGCTGAATTAACCAGGAACCATGCTAGGAGCCAGCAAGAAGGAGGGGCATCTGAGAAAAGTACCAAAGAGATCTCAATCATTCATCTGCCTATTCATTCATTCATTCATTCATCCGCTCAACATATATATATGAGTATATATATATATATATATATATATATATATATATATATATATAGAGAGAGAGAGAGAGAGAGAGCCTGCTTGTTGCCAGGCTTGGGGGATATTTTATAATGGGTCTTTCCCCCCCCAAAGACGAGAAAAGCTTAACGCTGGACTCCCTGTCTGCCCCTGTCTGAGTTCCTATGCAAAGATAGATATTCCAGTCCGTTTCCCACCTCAGCACAATTTCTGAGTGTTGGGGAAGGGTTACAGAAGGGTACAGGGCTGTAATGATGGAGTTTATTAGGGCTGCTGGGGAATCCACTTAAAAAAAAAAAAAGCTTTGGAAGGGAGGGACGACTTAACATGAATTGTGAATGGAAGGAGAGTGTACCTTGATGAATGGAAAGTGGGAGGTGTTTCAGATGCAGAGGGCAGTGTGGAGGCAATCTCTGCTGAAAATGACAGGAGGAGATGGGGGAAGCTAGGAGAAGAGGCTCTTGATTTTCAGTTATAAAAAGGGAAGATGAGTGAGGGGAGATAGGCTGGGTGGCTTTGAAGTCCAAAGCAAAGAATTTGTAGCTGCACTGGAGGATGATAAGGAACTTACTGGGTTTCAGCACTGATCTGATTTTTACCTTCTGTGCCCAAGTGTGTCAGTCTGGGTAGGAAGCATTCAGAGCAGTCTTTCATCAATTCGGCAGGCAGAGTAGTTGGTAGTATGTGACTGAGAAGCATTCTGCGGAGAGTTAGTAGAATCTTATTTTTCAAGAGAGATATGAATCCTCTGAAAACTTTTTTTTTAAATAATACTGTATTATCTTCAAGCTACTTCTGTTTTGCTCATGTTTTAAAGGTAAACATAAGGGAATCTCTCTCTGGGTGATGCAAACAAGGTGAATGAAGGTGAATGTGCACATGCTTAAGGTCCTTTGCTATAAGGATAAGTTTGTTAATAATCATGCCTTTCTTGCTTCCCTTCCTGGCATCCGCTTTTAGAGTTAGAGCTATTAAAACATATGACCATCAGCATAGAAACATATCACTGTACTATGCCAACACTTAATGATAAGTAAGTGATCTAAATTTAACATCCAAGGAATACCTACCATGTGCCAGACCCCTTCACATAAACCCTCACAGAATCCTCAAAGTAACCCACATTTGACAGAAGAAACAAGACTTAGAGAAATGAAATGGCTCATTAAAGAACATGATTCACATTCAACTCCATTTCTTCTGACTTTAGATCCAGAATTCTCCATGGATACTCTACTCTAGAGCTAGAAAGTATAGAGAGAATGAATTTGCTCCTGTTGTCTGCAAGCATAGAAAATGTACTTCCTGTTCTCTCTCGCATCTATGTCTACTGTTAATAAGTTACCATGAAGGGTTAATAGCTCTGTCATTGTCTCCAACAAAATGCTATCCAGAGAGGAATGTTATTGCATTGCAGTAAAAATTTGACCTGTTTTGCAGGAGTAACTGCAAATGATAACTATTTCCCTTCCCTGATTTGTTTTTCAGGCTTAAATAATGTGATAAAATTTGTTTCCCTTTGCTTTTACTTTATTCTGGTTTTACACAGAATGTTGATGCATAGTCTTCACCTTCTAGTTACATAGTTTAGGGGTACATGTTTGTTAGCCAGAGGAGTGTTTTCGCCTCCAGAAGGAAACACTTCTACCTGTTTCACAAGGTCAAGGAAGAGAGCACTGTCCACAGCCCCAAGTGCTGAAATGGCCAATTCATTCAGCTTAAAAAGAAAAATTTACACAAAGCACTGTGCTCTCAAAATACTGACAGCTATTTTCTTCAGGACTAAATCTCAGTGAAATCCTCTCTGGGTGAACTGAAACCCTTTCTTTACTGACATATTCCCTGAAAGTTGATGAAGTTTAAGTTTGACATTTAAACAAATGATCAGTGTGTCATTACTCACAGACAACTTCCTGCTCTTTGATATCACTGTCAAATTTGCAAAACGGATTAGATGGAGAATTGCTTTTTTGCCCCTTTGGTAAAAGTAATCTTATGCATAAAGTGGCAGGATAAGGAATAACATTATTCATGCAAGATAAAGAGGCAACATTAGATATGAAGGTGAAAGACCACAGTGTAGGCAGCAGATGTAATCCCTGACCCTTTGGGTCCATTCACCATTTGTACTTTCATGTAACTGACTACTTGGAAAATCTCAACCTTGTTGAACTTTCAAATACAATATGATCAATTAGAAGTCATTTCCCCCACAATGTTCTTTTGTAAAGTGATGTAACAGGATATGCCCTGAGCAGAATGACAAAGTCTTGATCATCTCCATCTCTTTTTCTTCTCTCCACAGTTCATCTCTCTCATTGTGTCCCTTCTCCTATTTGTATCAGATATTTCTTCCCAGTGATGGAAAGCAGTTTTCTTTGAAAAAAATGCAACACAAGTCATTAAAAATAAGACAAAAGTTACTCTACATTAAATGTCTTGAGTGTATGTATTCTAATAAAAGACATAGGCATGTCTACTTATAGAATTTTGGGTCATAGAAAAGATGATAGGACAGAGTTCTTTTTGGACAGAGTGTTTTTCCAGTATCTTCAAAATTATGATACATATAACCTATTCCTAAGTATGTCTTGTACTATAGCCAAATAGATGCATTCAATTATTTGACCAGTACATTTTGAGCAATATTATGTTTTTAAAATTGTGTATTGGAGGGAGAGCTCTTCAGGACACTCATAGGAATATATTTGATGTTATTTCTACTTATTTTTCCTTGAGTTAAAACTGGATAGAATGATGGGTTCTATTCAATTCAAACATTAAACAGCTGGAGGAAATGAGTAAGTCTATGCCTCTCTTACTTCTGCATTCAAAGATATCATGATTTTTTACCTGGAATACTTCTATATTCCCTGTTGTTGTCTCCATATTAAAAATGAGGAGAATATTCAACAAATGACATCAATCCAGCTGTGCTTCTTGCTTCTTGTGTGACCATTAGCAAGCTATTGAACTCTTTAAGTCTGTTTTTTTCTATTTGAAAATTAAGGTTGATAATGCAGGCCTTGTAGAAATCTTATAAGAATATCAAATACACAGAGGTATACACACACACACATCTGTGTGTGTGTAGTTTTATTGACACCTAGTAGACACTGAATGCCAATTTCTATCCCTTCATTCCCACTATTGAAATCTCTCCATGATGTAGTTTGCAACCATCTTCTGCTTCCATGGCCAGTCTGTGGCTCTGTAGCTCTGCAACTCTTTGTGACCTCTGTTCTAGGCTTTCTCTCAGTTGAGAGGCTTCCTAAAAACTATTAGTAAAATGGAGTTGGCAGATGTTGCTCGCTTTTTCCATACCAGCTCCACCCACTCATCCCATAGCAGGTGTTTAGTGCCTTCATACTACTGCTTTCCTGACTGTCAGTAAAAAGCCTTTGCTAACCATCAGTATAAAATTCTGTCAGCTTAAATTTGCCTGTACAATGTCCCATTTATTCAGAGTTTTGGGTGGTTGTTGGGTTGTTGTTAGGTCTATCACTATTAGTGTTTTAAATAGCATGTGTACACACACGTACACAGGTGATGTGTTGATTTAACTCAGCTGAAGCACACTGCCTATTAAGAAATTTACCTGATAACATTTAAACTAAATGGAGTGGATGAGGAATATCTGTAATGGGTTGCTTCTTATGGAGCTAATCATATGTCCCAGATATGGAACTGGCAGAGTTACAAGTTCCCACTACTTCTAAGCCTAAGAAACATTTATTTCCTGTTTCTCCTAATGCCCAATTCACATCTGTGGGTGTTTCTAAACCCACCCTTTCCTACACAGGAGACAGAAAGAGGTTAGAGATAATACATTACTCATTTCTGTCATGACCTGATAGAAACATGAATAATGACTGTAAAAGGTAACATTAGCCACTGAGCTTTAAATGTGTGTGTGTTTTTGGCAACAGAATGTAACATATGCTTATCTGAATAAGAATTAAACTGATGCTGTCACACTTTTACTAAAACCGTAACTACTGTGGGTGCCTGGGTGGCTCAGTAGGTTAAGCGTTTGCCTTCAGCTCGGGTCATGATCTCAGGGTTCTGGGATCTAGTTGCTTCAGCCCCTTAGGGCTCCCTGCTCAGCGGTGCGTCTGCTTCTCTCACTCCTTCTCCCTCTGAGTGTGTTTGAGCTCTCTCTCTAGCTCGAGTTCTTTCTCAAATGAATAAATAAAATCTTACCAAAAAAGTATACCCACCTAGTTTTCCTGAGTAAAATAAACCATGTTTTTTATTTAAACAGAATCTCAGTGATAACTTTTTAAGTGGC